TGTGTGTGTGTGTGTGTGTGTGTGTGTGTGTGTAGAACCCACAGTACTCAAGCACCAGCACCTATGTGATCTATGCTCACCTGCTCAGGCAGATCGCAGCTTTGTCTGAGGCTGACCATCACTTCCTGGTTCACTGGTTTAAAAAGTAAGTCCAAAACTCTGTGCATGTGTGTGTTCATGCATGTGCATGTGTGGTAACCAGTTTGATATTGGTTCGCAGCCAGTAACAAATGGACCTCACCGCTGTTTAAATAAACAATAAAAATGTCAGGTATCATATTCTGATTGATGTCTTTTTACAGCGTCTATAAAGCTACAGAATTTTCTTTCTCTTTACATTTGAATTACTTTGTGTTTTACTGATGTTCGTCATCCACTCTGGATCTAAGGAGAGAGGATTTTGTATGTTAAAGAGATCGTACAGCCTTCTGTGGAAAATGTGGGATTTGAAGCTTTAAATAACTCGTGGATGTGTGGGCGGATTGGCTCCTGTCATCTTGTTTCTGCAGCAGGGTTAGCAGCTGATAAATTGTGAGATGAGAACATAAATTAGGCAACTACTCTGCTTAGTCTCACTTTCTTAATGCATATCACATACACAGTTTTGAGGTTTTATGAACCTCTGCTGTCGTTTGGTGCAAACCCTAAAATTTGACAAAACGCAGCACTCGCATTCTTTTTACATCCAGCTTGGTTTTTGTCTTCAGCTTTGCTTTTCCTACTCTAATCAGGCCACACAGTGCGACCTGCGTGCCAGCACTTTCCCATCTGGAAAAAAAAGTTCAAACGTGTATTTGTGATTAACTATCAAGTATAATAGAATTGTTCTACTTAAAAGAGTATGCTTAACTACTTGACATCCACCAGGTCACCAATAATCTGTCCATGGCTTGAGTTTGTTTTGGCAAAATGTTTCTGGCAAAACTTTAGAAACTGCAAGATGTTACATTTCAAATAAAGAGTCATACATCAGCTGTTGCATCTTTTTTCTATGTGACTGTTCCAAATAAGCATCATATTATATTTAAAAAAAGGGGTCAACATAAGCCAGACCCTACCCTAACCATAGGTGGGCTGCTAGTGACTGGCCGGATGTTAAATAGTTAAATATATTATATTATATATATTATATTAAATATGGAAAAACGTCCTAGAAAAGTTTTATCAGGTCATCTTTCATTATATATTGTTTTGCTAAGAACACGTTTGGTGAATCTGTCAGTGACATACTACATGACTAAGACTGGTGCCAGGCAACATATGACTGAAATGGTCTATACGAGCAAGGAAATGGAAATCTCATTTCAGCTTTTTGTGGATGCTAACAAGGACACATTTGTTTTAATGTTTGGGAATCTGCTTGCAAAAACCCAACAAGCTGTAGTCCAAAGTTTTATTCAGAATAGCTGTAAAAAGAAGTCTTAGATCCAGTCCTAAATTTTTCACAATGTCAACACAGTAATTAACAGTAAGAGATTAATAGTTATGGGGCTTATGAAATATTAAACTTCTCTCCAATAGAAAAAAAAAGCATGTTTATTAATTTATACATTTCTTTATCTTATTTAATTACATTGTTCCTCACTGTCCAAATATAAACTTTGTCCAGCTAGAAGACTTTAAACTTCACACACAGCCTGAAAGCACAAACGTAAACCAGCTTCTGTTCGTCTCCCTTTCGGCTTGAATGAGGAACATTTGAATTCATGCTGTTTGCGGTAATGATTTACTAGCAAGCTGCTTCAAATTAGAAGTTCTGTTTAGTTCTGCTCAGATCCAAAAACCAAACTTCTCCAAAGCTGCTATTATTTTTCCTCCTTGAAGTGTAAGCATCTATTTTTGTGCACATGTATATTTCAGGGTGCAGTTTGACTCTGCCAAGCCACCAGTATTAACTCCGTGTATCCGTGTGTGTGTGTGTGTGTGTCAGACTGTCTGCAAGGCGTTTCAGACAACTGGTAGAGCGCCTCCTGCAGTTCATCTCCACTCGCCTGTTTCCAGCAGAACCAGATGAATTTCCTCCTCTGTCCAAGTGCGCCTGGTGGATTCCCTCTGCAACCAAAGTGCTCAGCCTCTT